GCTATAATTCCAAACAGAGTTAATAATGAATTTTATATCAAATGAAAGCCCTTGAAAATGGGGTTTATTGGTACTAAACAATAGGAGTTATGGAAACTTTCGTATGTTGAAATGTGGAAACTTAGGAAATTTCACTAATCATAGGCGTGAGAAAAGTTATTGATGAGATAAAGTTCGAACTAAATGTGATACAAAATTCTTTATTTTTTCATTGTTTAATGAAAACAATCAATAATCAGCGTGACGACCGTTAGAGTTCTTTACTGCACGTAGTCGAGATGGATACGAACATAGAAGAGTTTCAAATAAATCAGTATCGGTTTCCATGTTTTTCAAAACATGTGAAATGTGCATTTTGAGTGTTTCTTCAAGATAACGAGAATGTCCAGGTTCTGATAATATCTTTTTTTCAACTGCATCCTTGGTTATTCTTCCAATATGTTCTTCCACATTGAGATCGGGTGAATTTCCAGGCCAAATATCATTACCCCAAAATTTAACATCATTGTCTTGAAGCAAATGTTGGGTCTGATATGCTCGCATACATGGTGATTTGTCATGGACAAATATAGCTTCATCGGGATCGATAACATTTTCTTCATTTTTTAAGAATGGAAAGACGTGTTCAGTCAAAATTATATCACGAAAATACTGACCAGTCCAAGATTCACCTTTATCATTAATCACCCGATATAACCTCTTAGCAGTGCATATCACAAAAATTCCAATGCATTCTTGATTTTTAATCATTTCACAATAACGTTCATCTTCTTCAGTGTCGTCGACAGTTTTTGCCCAAATTCGGTCGTTCTGATAATTTGGTCGACGAACAACCCAGACAAAATATTCATCAGATGGTGCGAGATGATGAAAATCCTCTTCACTCCAATATTTTAATCAATCGCAGAGCCATAATCGATTTGATATGTGAGTTTCAGATTTAAGCGGTTTTGGAATAACATGAAATGGTTTTAATCCTTCTCTATGACGGTAATTATTAATTGTTCTTTGAGTGACATATTCTTGTTGCTTTTCTGCAATCTCCTTCACCACAACAGAACAACTTTTTCTTTGTCGACCACTCGCTTTAAGAATGATGTCTTGACTTGCTTGTGATAATTTAAGCTTTCGACCGGCATTTGAATAATCAATAAAACATTGGTCATATGGTTTTTCTCAGCAGTCTGTAACAAATTGAACCAAACGATGAACTTTCTTCGCAACCCAATGTCGACCAAGAAATGTTGCACCAGCATCTCGAGCTTCACGAAAAGCAATGCATTTAATTCTATCAATAATTCTTTTTTCTTCAATATCATAAGTACCAGCCATTTAGAATGATTAGATTTAATTGATGCACCGAAAGGATATATTTTTAATAAAAGATATTGATCAGAAAATGATCTTATAGACTGCTTCATAAACTTCTCGAACTTTCCTGTTCTCTAACTTTCTAAGACAAGAAAAATAAAAAAGTCTTTTTTCTTCACCGTCATCACAAGTAATAGACANTGAGTTATAGTGAAACTGACCATAATAGCAATGTGGAATAGCTAGATTGTGGCGGACAAAATTTATTGAGCGATATTTCAAATAGAGAGAGAATGATTTACATTGTTTTAAATCACACAAACTCATTTTAAATCACCGAACTCATTTTAAATCATCAAACTCAGTTAAACTCATTTTAAATCACCGAACTCATTTTAAATCACCAAACTCATTTTAAATCAAAAACTCACAACTCGTCGTTTCCCCCTTGGTCTTCCCTCATTCGAACTACTCGAGGGTCGACTTTAAAAGTACATATTTATTTTGTCAAAATTTAGATGTATTGGTGAGAAAATGAGAATTTTCAATATCAGATGCAAAATATTATGAAAATTTTCTTTGGCATCAGTCATTTGGATTGTCAAGTTCTTAGAAAACAACAAAATGAATGTCATATTTGGAATTAGAATAAGCAACCGCATCAAGTCATATATGTTTCAGCGAAAAACTTTTCATATCAGAAACTCGTTCGCACTCTATTTCAGATAACTTTTTTGAAAAATTTTGCCTGTGATTTACCTGGTGCAAGTTTCTAGTTGGAAAAGTTGTTCGTTAAAATATATAAGATTCAATGCAGTTTTTTATGCTGATTCCAAATATAACATTCATTTTTTTTTTAATTTTAGAAGAGCTTGATGATCCAAATAGCTGATTTCAGGAAAAACTTTCATAAGATTTTGCCCCGGGAATCGAAAATTTCCTTTTTGTAATCAATACCACGATAGCTCTATATTTTATCCTCAAACGATTCGTATGAGGTAAGATAATTGGCTATAGTTCTTCGTGCAAAAAAAAACAGATTGCTTTCCAAAATTGTATATTAGTGCAATGCCGAGTAGAAGTGTTAGTCATAGCTGTACTAGACAAAATTTTATTTTTAAAATCAATCAAGTACTACTCTAGTATACAGTTTCTGATGACAAATCAGAAAAACATTTTGAAAAAGTTTTATTTATTGACACGTTGCTCTTGAAATTTTACATATACGGAAAACAAGACAACTTCTTTTATGAAATGTAGTATTTGTAACGGTTGGTTTGTTTTTAAATTGAATATAAAGAAGATTACTTGTACGATTTAATGTAGATGATTACGTTGCTTAGTGGTATATGTCAATGATAAACTTCTATTACGTCAGTAAGTTATCCTAGACAAGTGATAATGTTTATTTATATTTGCAAGTGAATTGCATACAAATAATTAATGAAAGAGAATTTAGTTTGAACTAATATTACGAAAACAAAAAAAAGAACAAACCAAATAATCATCTATCATATCATTTGTATTTCTTCAATTCATTTCATTTTTATATAAATATAGAAGAAAAATTGTGCTGATTAGGATTTTATTAACCAATATCATTCTGAATTTTTTTTTTAAATTTCATATTCTTATTTTCAATGGTTGTTAGTCTACTTCAAAGGAATCCCAATCTTACAGAATGAAAAAAATGATAATGATAGTCATGTTGTAGTACAACGTTGGTTGTCTTTATATTGCTGCAATCGAAAAATCAACACAATATTCGTGAAATTACTTCATATTGTGTATGAATGCAATTAGATGTGATAAAAGTTTTGCGACTTTTTTGTTTTGCCTGTAATGCTGTTTAAGACTATAATAAAACGTCGATTGTTGTCTTGTCAAAAAATGTGTCATTGAATGTTCTGCTTGGATCGCAAGACTAAATCTTTATAGTTATTTTCGAAATTTTAATAGAATGTTAACACTGAACAAATGCATCATCGTGTTATTTCCTAGAAAGAAATATAAGATAAAGTTGAAGTTTGTTTTTAACAATATTGTTCATTCATTTTGGTTATAATTTTTAGAAGCAATGAAAAATCTAGTATATGTCCTTTAAAGCATGAGAATTATTACTCATTCTCATTTCAAATACAAGTGAAAAATAATGTTTTGTATCGATTGATCTGGATGCTTTACCCTGAAATAAAATGTTTTCTTTTAATATTGTGTTACTCTCAAATATATCGTCTAAAACTAAAGAACTCGATGGACAAATCACTAGATTAAATATTCTCGAATATTGAAAACAAATAACAAAAAAGAATTATTGTTAACAGAATAATACAAAGAGAACTTGAGTTCAACCGAAGATGATAAGCAAACGTTCAGGACAAATGAGTACTGATCTCATAGAAAGTCTTGGTATAGTGATGAATGTTTTGGTTTTTTATAGTGCCTGAGATAATCCTCTTTATCCTAACATTAAGCGGATAACAAATGACTCTAGTTGTTAATCATAAAATGGACTTTACTCAATTTTTCCTTGTGGATAATAATATAACAATACATTTGTGTAATGCTGGCAGTCTATTAAAATTTCGAAAATAGCTATAAAAATTTGGTCATGTGATTCGAGCAGAATATTCAATAGCACGTCTCTTGAAACAACAGATCAATGTTTTATCATGTTTCTGAACAAAATTATATGCAAAACTTTTGCCACAGCTGATATACAAATGCTTAGTTTTCTAAACTTAATATCCCTAGTCAACAAATGTATCTCTGGTCAGCATCAATTAATATCATTTGAAAATTATCCATTTTATTTAAATAAACTTTCAACTTCAAATGCCCATGGCAATGTCTCTCTATTACAATTGTCCATTACCAAGATTTGGTTCAATATGTCTATATTCATTTGATGCAGACAAACTTTATTATTCATCATTGAATAATATCATTGATAGTTTCTATAAAAAGTGTAGATATAAATTTAAGAGTCAAATATGTTATATTTATTTACAATGTAATCTTAGTTTATCGTCGGTATGTATTTGTTGGAACAATATTTGTGACGGAATTATTTAATTGTATCGATGCAATAGATGAAGAATATTGCTGGCAACTCGAAATCATTGAATGCAAAGGTATTAAATTCTAATGTAAAAATTGGCAATATATATCTTTGATACTTTTCAAAGATAATAATAGTGTTTCCAATTGTCTTGACGGTTCTGATGAAGATCGGCCTTTTTAAAGATGGTTATCTTATTCTGAGTATACCAGCATTCAAATACATAAATATTGCTTGTGTAAAACATCACTTGATTCCACTAGGAATATGGACAAATCTAGAAGAGAAATGTTATCATACCTACCCGATTGCATTTTCCGAAATTTCTGTTTTCTGACCGACCAGATACAATGTTTGATGTCTGCTGGTTAGCTTGTGTGTGTTACTTGAAATTTCTATATCTATTGACATTTATGTGTGTTGATTTTTTTTTGAATGAGACATGTAAGAAAGAAAAAGAAGAGTTGTCCAGAAATGACTGACATTTCCAATGTATTGGTAGCATTTGATCATATCTATTTTGCCTATACAAAAAGAAACACATAATCGAACAGAGAAAATGAACAAATAAGCTTCAATATGTGTGTTATAACAAAAAATTTTGCGGTAAATTTGATTCCAATAGGGCATTACTTTTATTCAATAATGTTAGTTGTTGTCATTCTCAAGGTTTTTCATTAAAGGTTCACAGCTACTTAAGACTATTGTTGGGTCGCTAATTATGTTCTTCTCTTGCATATAGAACTATCTCAATACAATAAAATTGTTCGTTTCGTAATGCGTGACCTATGTATCAATGTGTCAATTCATCGAAACGCATTTCAAATATTCGTCTTTTCGTCAAAATAGATGATTGTGACTACGAAGATGATGATTTATTGACTTCAATAAATAATATTTATTTAACAAGAAGTCTTACAATGCATATCAATTATACACAGGGCAAAACATATAAGGCATCGCACCTAGTGCGGATGTCATGGAAACGTGGACAAACATGACCACACTTATACCCTTTATCTTCAATATCTCCTATGCTAGTACTTAATTGAGTTTCTAAGGAAATTCTGAAAAAAAATCCAATCAAAGAAGATGAATAATTTTGTCATAACATTAAAAAGTGAAGTGTTTTTCATGATAATCATTTCTTTAATAAACAAGACGCATTGGTTTTTTGTTAATGATATGAAACAATTTTTATGTAATCTCTTCCTATATAAATTTTAACCATCGATTTTACATTCTTTTTTTTTATAAGATTAGGAAATCATGATAAAAACATGATCATATTCACACATTCTTTAACTTGATCATCACATTTACTTGTTGATTGAAGTTCGAAATCTATTGTTGTGGTTTATAATCATATTTCGATGTTGTATTTATTATGTTAATTGCTTACTTTTGCCATCATTGTCTTTTTTTAAATTTTTAACATGTTTAGTGATGTTCATATCAGTACTTTGATTTATATTGTCAGATTATATTATCAAATATGCAAAAGCTTCAATCGTATGACACAGTTATAAATTCAAGTTTTCGGGAAAAAAAATACAAAATAAATTTTATACTATGTTTATGCTCAATAATACTTTTAAGTTGTATGATGTGAATCTAAAGTCAGCTCAGAAATTTGAATTAGATAAACTCATTGAACATTTTCTATTGGATCAAACAGGTAAAAAGAATTTTTCTTGATCAAATAATATATTCTTTGAAATTGATGAATCAGATTATTTGTTCTTATTCACATTATTAGTAAACAAATTCCATACGAATTCTACATTATTTGAATGATTGTATCAATGATTATGGTTATGAATATGATAATATATATTTTTTCATAGTGTTTATCATCATAAACTAAAACATTGCATGCTATAAACATGTCCATTCTAACAAAATATGTGTACGTGACATTGATAACATATAAGAAAAAAAAAAGGAGAAAAATATCAAGTGTCTATCTAATTTTGTATAACATTCACGTAAATTTATACAAAATGTTGGTAGCTGTCTTTTACATTATATTATTTTTTAATTTTTTTGAGTTTTACGGTAAAACAAAACATGTTCTAGATTTTAATATCTTTAAATATATGTATAATATAGATCTATGTCCACCTGAATATCATATTATTGATCCACACCATTCATTTTGTTCACAACCATATCCAGGTGTTATTGATCAACAAATTACTGCCTTTGAACGTGCACATATTGTTGAAATGCATAATAATGAACGACGTCTTGTTCGGGGTACTAATATACAAAAAATGGTATAGAAATTCTTTTATTTTTAACTCATATCATCTAATATTTAACAATTCAATAGTATTGGAATAATGATTTAGCTGAAATTGCTCTACGTTATGCTCGTCAATGTATATTTGATCACGATAAAGCCATTCAAAGAAGTGTACCAAGTATATTATAAAAAATATATGAATTTTTCTATTTTTCTTAATTGAACAATAAATCAATATCATAGAAATTCCATTATCAACAGGACAAAATTTAGCGATGGGTTATGAAAATTGGACACAAACTATTCAAGCATGGATTGAGGAAAAAGAACATTATTTTTATGATTATCCATCCGCAGGAGTTATTACTCATTATACACAAGTTAATATGACTTTTGAGAAAAAAACATAAAATTTTGAATTTCTATTATTGATTTCTTTGCTCTTCAAGATGATATGGCATTCAACAACATTAGTTGGTTGTGCAGCAACAATTTGTCCTGCATATGGACAATATAACATTCCTTGGCTTTTATATGTTTGTAATTATATCACTGGGTAAGTTATATAAAAATAAAAAATTATTCATAATCAATCGAATTAATCTATAAAATATTATTAGACAATTGAACAGTGATTTGTATAGACCTTATGATCAAGGTTTTCATGATCTATCATTACATGGTGATTTTATTTTTATCTTTTATTTTCTTTTTTCTATTTAAAACAAAGATTTTTGTTTTGTAGATTGTCAAGGTAAAGTATGTCTATATAATGGTACACTTGATTTGAATACATGTGAATGTCAATGTTCAACATATGCAAGTGGTTTACAATGTGAACGATGTAAATAATTTTAGTTTTGTAATAAATATGAATTAATGAAATATATTCTTTAGTAAATTGTTCAATATTACCACCATGTCCATATTATTCATCTGCATCATGTATAGCTGTTAATGTTCCATTAGAATGTCCTCGTCTATGTGGTTTATGTGATCGATATGAAGTATTAAAATGGGTTTATGGTGAAAATAATTTAGCACCTAATGTACTAGCAGTTAAACCTAGAACTATAACTACAACTATTAGGTAAACGGATTCGATCGTGTTTATAATCGTTGATGTTTTTTTCTTTGTTTTCTAGTTCTACTAAGAAGAAATCAAGCGGTCGAAAATTAAAGAAAAAAATACGAAATCGATATTCGAAAAAAAATCGTACTACTATCATGAATTTCTTTTCTGTTAGCACTCGAATTATTTCAAGAAAAATTCTCAATACGACAACCATGTTGTCAATACCTATAAAAAACGATTCTTCTCATTTATCGTTATTTTCATATTTATTGCATATAATAATTATTATTATTATTATTGATGATTTTTTTAAAACAAACACCAAAATATAAATAAAATATAACCATTGGAACCATAAAGCTGTATTTGATAAAATTATTTAATACTATTAATTCAAGAGAAACTTGTAGATGTATTTATTTCGGGCTAAAAATAAATAAATAAATAAATAAAATTTATTATTTGAAATATAAATCTATTTACTTTTTGTGTTTCCGTATTTAATCCAATAATGATTGGAAAAATAAAATTTTTTCCTTTGACAAATTCAAGATTCTATAAAACGAATACCTATAGAAAGAAAATTCAGAAATTAGAAAATTTTTTACTTCTCCAGCATAAGAAACAAGTGGAGAAATTTCAGAAATATTTTCATTGGTTTCTCTGAAAAATAAAAGTTCATATTGAACAAATTATTTATTTTTAAAAAGCAAATACATACTGTAATAAAGCACCAGCTTGTTTAAGATATCGAATATGTTGATGTATCAAATCTCTTCGACATGTTTCAGCTGTGTCTTTATTTCCTGTACCGTTTTTTAATGGAGAGAATTCATCTTCACGACGTACTTCCCAAGTAGCAAATGTTCTATTTACGAAAGAAAAAAAACCTTTATCACCTGAGCCTCTTTAAGATTTTACTGTAGAACTCACATACCATATTAAGCTGCATTTTATTTCTATATTGCAATTCAAAATTTTTCTTTTATTTTTTTATATTCCATTTTTTCTTTGTTTATTATTATTACTATTTCTCTAACCGTTGATTGAACTGATCAATAAATCTGTTGTCCGTATTCATTATTTCTACAATAGGTCTCAACAAGCTACTATGTATCTCGATATACTTAGAAACTTAAAATTTCAAAGAAGACTTTAGTATGTGCTAAAACACTCAAGATATGTTCATTTTGATGATAGAAACTAAAAGTTCACGCTCTGCTACGCGATAGTAATAAAAAAAAATGTTCGAGTTCCATTCCTGTGACTGTACTAATCCAAAATTGTTGTTAGTATGAGGATCGAAATACTTTGACTTAAAACTTTCACTGTCTATTCTTTTTCGAAAAATTTATATGAGTTCTACAAAATATCAAATCATTTTTCTTACTTCGAAAATGGAAATACATCAAAAACAAATTTTTCTAATTTTATTCCATTGATTTCTTTTGGTTTGTCAACACGTTTACCATTCTTATCAATTGATGGAATTTTCTTTTTTGCTATATGATATCGAAGTTCATCATCATGATTTCTAAAATTCAAAAACAAAACAAAACAAAAAATAATTGTTTAATTCTTCTTACTGACAAACATCTTTAAGAAAATTTAACGTAAAAAAATGATTACAAATATTTCCAGCATTAAATAACAATTCATCACTATTATCAAATTTTTTTCTTTGTGCTGTTTTTTCTGATATTTCAGAATATTCAACAACTTGATAACGATCTTGAACTTTACATATAACACCAACAGCTTCATTAGGAAATGATTTTTTAACTACCTAAAACAAAAACAAGCCACAATGTTCAATATATACGTAAAACGAAACAAGAACAAAAAAGAATTACTTTTGCTGCACAATCAGCATTTTTTTCTATACAAAATCCAATAAATATTGGATCACCTAAACGAACAAGGATATTATCCACACAATAAACATGAATATATTTTATATGACGTTTTTCCATTTCAGATAAAATATGATGAGTTGTTAATGCACGATATAAACCACCATTACCATCAGCTGCTTTTGTTAGTTTATATTTTTCATCAAGTAAAATTTTTCCATGAAAATCTAATGCAGGTAATAGATGTTGTTCAAAAAGAATAACATTTTCAGATTTTAAACCAAAATAATTATTTGTGTGTAAATATATTTCTGTTTGTTCTTGAGTATGTTCACTTGTCATTATAAACCTAAATAATTCATATAAATATGGAAAAAAAGCTCAAAAGATAAGTTCTTTGTTTTTTTAAATCACCATGGAATGATCGATGTATTTGTTTTCAATTCTTCATTAGCTAATTGTTCAAGTCGACGAATACGTTCAGCTTGAATTTGATAGAGTGATTTTTTGGATGGTAAACCAACATCATACATGCCTTTTGGATAATCAACACCTATTAAATAATTGATTAAAATGATTGACATAGAATAAAACTCTACCAAGACGTGTTCCTTGTCCACCAGCAAGTAATAATACACATACAGAACCTTCAGAAATAGCTTTCAAACTTAAAAAACAAAGAAAAAAGACAAAAACATAGAAATATTCTAAACATAAAGATAGAACTAATCTTTTTGACGATAGCTTTCCAGTTGTTCTTCATCGGCTTCATTGATTGATCCAGTTACAGTGTCAGGAACTGGTTCCATAATATCATCAATATTTTCTTGTTGTGTTTCTTTTTCATCATCCTGTTTAAGTGCTTCATTATTCGAAATTGTTTTATCTGCAAATAGTTCTCGTTTAATACCATTGTAAGCTTTATTTACACGATCAAAATCAATTTCTTTTATATCGTGTAATAATAATTGACGTTGTTCATCGTTAAGTTCAGACCAATAATCAAGCAAATGTGTTTGATTAGCATTTGTTAAACGTTGTTTTATAGATGAATCAGTTTCCATCTTGGAACAAAATGAATATAAAAGAATATTTCTTAAAACACGTACATTTGATTTATTAAAGCAGTGTCTAACACATTACTTTATATAGGCACGAAACTTTATGTAATACAAAGAAGTTAACTAACATTAGTTACTTCTGATCGTGAAAAGAAATATATAAAAACTTAAATAGATATAATTGTTTTTTTTTTCTTTGTTGACTTCTATTCACATTTATTGAAGTGAAAGCATTGGCAAAATAAATTTAAAAGAAAAGTATTAAAATTTGCTTGTCATATATTGAATAAATTTTTAGCTGATATAAATCGAATTTGTTTTAGTTTGACATTAGTGTTTCTTTTTCATATAGAAATTTGAAAAACAAGTTTTATAATTAACTACATTAATATTTATTGATTTTGAAAGCTGGGCAAATATACAAGACACAATATATTAGTTAATTTTTCTTTCAAAAATAAAGAATAATTATAAAAGTTATAAAATAAATGAGAAAAAAAGCAATGTTAACTAAGGTATCGACTTAGAAAATCAATCTCGCTTTCATTTTAGATAAAAACTCAGTTTTCATATACTCATCGTTGGTTTTCGCTCACTGAATGTACCAATAGGGTTTTTCCAGATAGATAGATCTTTTTTATTTTTTTTATTATTAAAATTTTAAGAAAGAGTTTGATGTTTTTTTATTTGTTTAAGAACTTATAAAACAATTGGTATAGATGACACTACTCATTGGAATGAAGTATTAACAATATCTATCAATAAGAAAAATGATAGAAAAGTCTTGTTTTTAAATTTATTTTGTTTTCTTAAAATAGACTGAACAATAGGATGCAAATAGATTTTATATTGGCTTGATTGAAACTATTTATAGATGATATAGAGCATGGGGAACATATTAACATGACATACTTCAGATAAATAATTCTATTCATAGAATAAAACATTTTTTGAAATATAATGTAATGTCATGCTGTTATTGATTATGTTCTGCCCTTTAACTGTATGATATTGTATGTCTAAAAGTCACGTTCGTCTTTAATATAGGTACGATCGCGGCTGATATAAAACTTATCATAAATATGTACATTTCAAGAATACAAAGCCACCGAGTCAATCCAGTCTCCAAGTATGATCTCATACCCGAATCCAACTCTGTAACTAATGAGATTTCGATATTTTGAAATATTTTGATTTTTTTCTAACTTTTTTAGTTCGCAGAATTGAAAATGATCTTCGCCCTTTTGTTACCTTCTATGAAAGAAACTAAATAGTATACATTTTCATAGACAATAAAAATCTGAAAACTGTACTGTGACTATAAAAATATCTACTGGATGCGGATTAATTCCGATACAGGTCCAGTCTAGTTGCGAAAAGTCGTACTCGTGCAGGACACTAGACTAGATCATGAGCTTGTTCAATCTGTCTTTGCTTATCATGCACTTTTCTCAACTTAAACTGTTTCCATTTTGTTTAGTTTATCTATTGTGACCTATGTATTTTTTACACGCTAATACGATAACTGCTGTCCTGTGTCCGACTCTAATTTCGATCTATTTGTCTTTTATTTAAAATTGGTTACATTATTTGTCTATGACTATCTTAAACGATCAATAATCATTAAGATCATAAGTAGAAAATTCCATTGCTCATGATGTGTAATTAACTGTTATTGAAAGGCTATTGCTAGACATGAGAAGTAAAACAAATGGTTGCCTTGATAATTATTTCAACCTTCATTTTTAGTCTATTATAAAAATATTGTTTAGTTACTGTAATTTGTACTTTTGAATTATCAATACATAGGCACAGAAATTCCTTTTGATTTTTACCGTGTTTTAAAAGAATATCAAAAATATTTTGATATCGATTTATTTATTCTTTTATATAGATACTTTTGAACATGTACAGAAAAAACAACAAGATCAAGACTAGATAAGTACACAATATAAATTAACGAATTGTTTTTTGTACTTGAGAATTTCTATTCTTAGATGTATTTGATGTAAGCGCGCTTGAAGAAGTTTTTTTTTGTTGTTTTTGTTGCCGTCGTCGACATGAAAAAAGTTTTTCAACGAATTTTTTTCGTAATTCAGGCAATGATCCACAACATACAAATGGAAATAGAAATAAAACATAATAATAAAGATATCCAGCATATAATAATGGAATATAAGCAATATCAGCTGGTAAACCATATTGAAAAGCAAAAACTAAAAATGTCCATGGAAAATTAAATAATAAATAAATACATGAAATAGATAATAATTGAATTGTCATCTTTCGATGTCTTCGCCATTTAATTGGTTGATTTAATCGTTGTTTTTGTCGTATTACACGTAATATAAGAAGAAAACTAAAAATGACTATCGTAAGTGTTGGAATAACTTGATGAACAATTAAATCCCATGATCCTAAAATAGTTCGACTAAATAGACAAGGTATATAGATACCACCAGCTACGAATGAATCAAATGAATTTTCACAAAATGAACTAAAATAAATAAAACAATAAAATATAAAACAATATATAGGTATGACTGCTATGGGAACATAATGAATAAATAAACGTTTCTTTCTAGTTAATATCCATCTATCATGAAAAATGAGTATATGTCGTTCTACAGTAGCCCAAGCAAATAATGCTATTTGAGCAGAATAAAATGCATAATCAACAAATACCCAAATTAAATAAAATGTTACTGTTGAAAACATTGGTACACCCCAATAATTATAATAGAGAATCCATGGTATATCGGTTAATTCATAAATAAGACCAATAAAAAGAAGAACAATTATAATATGATTATGAAGAGCTTGACGATGTGTACGATCAAAGAGAAGATAATAAAGCACGAATAGAGTACATTTGATAGATATTATATCAAGAAAAAGATAAGACCAAAATCGAATCAATGGAGAAATTTCATAATTTGACAATGAACTTGAATTTCCTTCTATAGTTGTATTATTAAAATTCGACATATTCTAGAAAAATAACTCATTAAATATAGAAATCAATCTAACGAACGAACCTCATTAGTTCTCCCGTTCAGATTTCAATGAATGTTTGCCTATCGATGATATATAATGTTCTAGAAAAAAATCCTAAAAGGATTTGGATCCCTATTGTTTTCTGAAAAATCGTATTTTTGAATTTTGATCTGAAACTTTCCACTTATAGAGAATTCAACTAGATTAACATTTTAAGGTTTACATTAGACAAATATGTCGTATCTATTAGAAAAAAACATCATTGAAATCGAAAGAAGGCACCTGAAAAGATTTCTTCGTAAGTTGTATTTAAGAAATTGCATTGATTTATTCTTAATAATATAGGAAAATGTTACATAGTTTCTTCGTGTATATACTATGAAGACTATACTCATAAAGAACAAATATTTTAAATGTTAATGAATACGTTGCCAATTATCTGCATTAATAAATATATACTGTGAACGTCACTTAATCGAACTATTTTTTATCAGAACTTTCATCTATCCTAAGTAGAGATATGCGTGGTAAGCTTTTTTCATACCCTGTACCCTTATTGAGAAAAATTTTCTATCCTTACTCTACACTGTAGAACATGTCCTTGCTCTTTATCCTACGAAGTTTTTATTTCAATCTTCCTTAATATTACACTAGCTGAAAGACTCTAGAAGTGATAGATACATAGTAAAAAAGCTGTTAGCGCAATCCCTTGCGGGATTAAAAATGTGAAACACGATGAACCTATTGTTACTAATTAAATGGAAATCCTTTTGTTCCATTTCCTTACGACACATTTGTAGCTAACC